CAAGTTGTCTGCCCTCCTCAGCCTCCCAAAGTGCTGGGATTATAGGTATTATAGTGTTTTAATATGTAACCTGACAATGTGTAAGTGGTAAGTGCCCAATATACTCATAGTTGTGAAATCGGCTAACTGGTAAATCCTTGCTCTCAGGTTTTGCTTTGTGAACTCGTTCTTCCTGCCATTCCCTCTCTCACTCTGTAATAGTTAAGTGAACTCATGCTTACTTCAAACCTTCCTCTCTTATCACTAGAATATGGCCCCTGGAAATATCACTAGAATAAATCTTCACAATTCATTCTTGTGCCAGTGGGAGGGAATTTAGGCTTAAGGGACATATACTCTCATCTTTCCAAGTACAGCCAGTACATTTCTCCCTTTTGGGTTTCCCCGCATCTTATAAATGTCTCCATCATAATTTCTAAAACACTATATTGTGTTTCTTTTACATTCATCTGCCCCCGAGAATCAAAACCTTCCTGAGAGCAGAGACTGTTTCTTATTTATCTCTGAACCTCTAGCATCCGGTACCCAGAAAGAGTCTACTTCCAAAAAGATAAATGGAAGAAGGAAGTCAGGCAGGTTGGCAGGCTTCTTTGATTACAGTGCCACTTATCTATGCCCATTGCATTTGCATTTTCACAAAAGACAGCTTGAAGCCAAGCAGTGAAGCTGTGCTGGTGGAAATTTTAAACATCAGAAGCAAGTGAGGGAGATGATTTTGTGGATAGGGAAACATTCCTAGCATCCCTTACATTTTGTATTGATAGGAAGCTGTCCATCTTACCTAATTTTCAGGTCAGCCCTGAAAGTGAGAAGAGAAACGTACATGTGACATTTCTATAAGAGTATAGACTAACCTTCCGATGCTCACATAGAAAGTAGGAGAAAAGTTAAATATATCCATATTAGCCACTGGGGCAATATTAGCATGAAAGCCAAATGATGAGATACTTGAAAGTGTGTCTTGAGGAAAAAACGAACAAACAAAAGTATTAAATGCCGGTAAAACTTCCCCCAAAGTCAAATCCATCTGGGGTTACCATTAGGGGGCAGCAGGACCTGGAGTTAAAGTCTACTGGAGTCAAACTCCCTGATTTTAAATCGTATCTCCACTTCTCTGTGGCAACAAGATCTTGCACAATTTCCTTAACCACTCGAAACTTTGAAGGTTTTATCCATGAAGTGGAGATACAAATACAGTCACGCCCTGCATTAATATAATGGGCCTCATGTGCAACAGTGGTCCTGTAAGATTATAATAATGTAGTTTTGCTCTACCTAGTCTACGTTTAGATACACAAATACTTCCCATTGTGTTACTGCTGCCTACATTATTCAGTACCATAACATGATGTACAGGTTTGTAGCCTGGGAACCACTGGTGATACCTTACAGCCTAGGTGTGCAGTAGGCTACACACCATCGAGGTTTGTGTAAGTTCACTCTGTGATGTTCACACAATGACAAAATTGCCTGAGGATGCATTTCTCAGAACATATCCCCATCATTAAGCAATGCACACCTGTAGTGTTCCTCTCACAGGTCTTTCTTTTTAACTGGTTAAATGATATAACTCAAAGAGTAGCTATGGTTATTTTTAGAGAAACCATTCATTCAGCACCTCCCACATGTAAGTCATTGACTTATTCTCTCTACAATTTTCTAACCCCAGAGCTAAATATTCTAACATCAGGCATATCAAATGTAATGTATCTGACCTTTAGGTTCAATACAATACAATATTATACCCCACATGCTTTTATTTAAAACCCTTTATGTCCCTAGCGCTGTCTGTTAACTGTAGAACATACTAGAGGAGAAGACTCTGTTGTCTTCTTTGGGGCTTTAAGGCTTGTTGGACAGGATTCAGAGACTAATAGTCAGTGTACTGCTCGTTACTCAAAAGAGAAGACTGCAGCCTTGGGGAGGTTTCCTGACATGGGCATGGTGCAAGGGGAACCACGTGCCATTCTTCCTCCAGCATCAGCTCATCTATTAGTTTGGCGCAAAAGTAATTCCGGGTTTTGCCATTACTTTTAATTGCGGCAAAAACTACAATTACATTTGCACCAACCTAATAGAATGTAAGTTCCAGGAAAGTGGGATTTTCATCTGTTTTGCTTATTGCCTTATCCCTGGTACCTAGAACACTGCCTGGCACTTAGTAGGTGTCCAATAAATGTTTAAGGAAAGAAAAAGAAAAGAAAAAGGAAATTGATTGGTAGTTGGGTTTGGACATGCCTTTTAGGGAAAATTATATGGTTCCCTTTTGTTTTGTGTTCTCTCCTCCAACTATTCATTTGACTCCCTCCATCTCCTTTCGACCTCCTCGATCTTCCTGGTTGTTTTGTGCTTGTCTCTGAGTGTACTTTGGGTTTGTGGGGATTTGTACAAGTATTGCTTAATCCCACAAGGGAGTATGTTGACTGTTTTCCATAAAAAACAGTAACCTAGAAAGGTGGTGAGATTTCTGCGCAGTTACCAGCAGTTACCATGGTGCTCTGAACACCAAGTGTGCTCAAAAAAATATTACTGATTTGACCCCACAGTCACAGTACATGGCATTTCTCACACACTGATGAGACTCTTAAGAGGCATCTCTGTTCTGTGTTCAAACTGATGTATAGGGTACAAGTCTTCCATTTGTTCACTCCACATTTATGGGAAATAACCATCACGGTACCAGATTCTAGGCAGTAAACTAGAAGTTCCTCATCCTATCTGCTTCTCATTTGCATTTCCAACAAATGGAATACTTTGATAGAAAGTTGAATTGGAAACCATAGTCAAACATACAAAAGTGCATTCCCAACAATTTTTGAGACTCATAATGGAAAAATATATCCCAGATTTAACCAAGAGAGCTGTAGTTCAATAATTGGCAGTAGAGTTGTCATTTCTCTTTTGATTATTTTTAAAAGAGATTTTTAGAAAAAGTTTTTTACTGATGCTTAATTTGTTCTTCCTGTGTAATCAACCCATAGTTATAAGCAAGCATTCCAAATTGTGCTGTATTTCTTGCATAGGGTAAAACATTATGATTCTTAAAATGGAATAGCTACTTTTTCTAGTCACACAATTGCTGAAAAGCTGCCTGCTGAAAAAGACTACATTTACCGTGAACTCTTACTACCAGCCAAGGACTACAGTTTCTGATGAATAGGGCCTGAGAAGGCTGCCTGATTAAAAAACAACAATCACTGGGCAACATTCGTAGCAAAGGAAAAGATAAGACTATGCTTTATCCAAGTTGCAGTGCCTTCAGTAAGATTTTTATTCTTTTAAGACACACATATCACTAAAGGGCAGTTGTACTTACCATATTCTCTAGCCTTTGTTATTATTTTTTCTTAAAATTTGCACCTGACAATTAAAGGCTAGTAGTCTTTGGTTTAAGTCTGCTGCACAGAAGGAATCTTTTAAAAATGTAAATGATCTATTAGTCATATTTCTAAAAGGGGAACTTTGAATTAATCATCTTCAAACATTTCTGCCAAGATAAAGGTCACCACACAATTACTGTCCGCACCCACCGGCCACAGAAGGATAGAAGGAGAATGATGCTCCTGGATCTCACACTAGAGCATTCAAGATGCAGGCAGCCTCACGCAGCACACTTGCTTTCCACATAAGGAACTGGCGGCCAGGGGAAGCGACAGGCCAAGGTCACAGTTGGGAATCCAGGTCCTAAGTTGGGTGCCCTTGCCACTCAGTGGGACTGTCCCTGTGGCTGCTATGATAAATTACCATAAATCAGGTGACTTAAAACAACAGAAATTTATCCTCTTTCCATTCTGGAAACCAGAAGGCTGAGATCACAGTCTGGGCAGAGCCATACTTCCCCTGAAGGCTCTAAGGGAGGACTTTTTGCTTGCTTTTTCATGCAGGTGTTCCTTGGCTTGTGGCTACCTCACTTTAATCTCTGCCTCTGTCCATCTTCACATACCCTTCTCTCTTTGCTGTGTCTCTTCTCTTAGTGTCTTTTTTTTTTTTTGAGATGGAGTCTCGCCCTGTTGCCCAGACTGGAGTGCAGTGGTGTAATCTCAGCTCACTGCAACCTCCACCTCTCAGGTTCAAGTGATTCTCCTCCCCCAGTCTCCCAAGTAGCTGGGACTACAGGCGTGCACCGCCATGTCCAGCTAATTTTTTGTATTTTTAGTAGAGACAGGATCTCACCATCTTGGCCGCTGGTCTCGAACTCCTGACTTCAGGTGATCTGCCTGCCTCGGCCTCCCAAAGTGCTGGGATTACAGGCATGAGCCACTGAGCTTGGCCTCTTAAATGTCTTTTATAAGGATGTTTGTCATTGGAGTTAGGGCCCACTCAGACAATCCAGAATAATCTCATCTCTAGATCCTTAATTTAATCATATCTGCTAAGACCCTTTTTACAAATAAGGCCATATGCACATATTCCAGAGGTTAGGATGCGGACATACCATTTTTGGGGGGTCACCATTCAAACCATTCTACCCCATTCTTTTTCCTAAAGTAGTAAGCATCATCACACCATTTTTAAAATTTTGTTGTGCTTTAAAATAGTTGGTAGTCTCTTTTTCTCTTCTTCCCATTTACAAGTCTTTTTGGAGTCAGACCTGCATAATTGAATTTCTAATTCGGGCTCTGTCATTCACTACAACAGTGCGACCTTAGGTAAGTTCCTTATGCATCCCTCTAAGCTTCAGTTTCCTCTGGTCTAAAATGAGAACAGTAATTTCCACTACATAGGGTGCTTGTGAGAATCAATATGATAATGCATGTAAAGCACTTAACAAAGTGTCTAAGAAGAATCAGTTCTTAGTAAATGCCAGCTGATTTTAAATTAGAATAACATTCACCGAGATCAGTCTATTGCTTACAAAATGTAGACATTTGAGGTCTTCTGGGGGACCCATTTCCAGCAGCCAGAGACATTTCTGGCACCAGCACGTGAGAGCCGCCTCATTGTTGAGTGCTGGCGCATGGGCGCACGGCCTGCTCAGCAGTGGGGTGGGGGGAATTCCCGGGATGCTCTGAATTGTTGCGTTCTCAGCCTACGCCATAGACCTTCAGATCTTCAGCAGAGCATAGAATAAGGAGACGTTCTGGTACCAGAAGGGAGACAAGATTATTCCAGCAGCCATGGGACTAGTCCCTTCGGATCTGACCAGCTTGGGGCAACGCAACTCAGGGTTAGTGAAAGAGTGACTGTATTGGGGTTTCTACATGGTGGGTGGGGGTGGGGAAAGCCAGTGGAGGAGTGTCCTGCCCTAGAGATCTGCAAAGTCTGGGTCAGACACCCAGTTATACCTCGGGGTTCCAAAGCTTGTCCTGAAGCAAAGAATAACCAAGCATAAAACAACAACAACAAAAAGCATTTATCAAGGATATTTGTTTAGTTGTGTTTTTCTAAATAATTAAAGGGTGGCATGGAGTTATACTGTACTTAAACGGTGACAATGGGTTGCCAGCCACACCCCAAATAGTTTGCATTTATTATTAGTTTATTCACCAGCTTAGTCCTCCTGGGAGGAAATCCAGTCTCTAAAAATATCCTCCCCTGTCCTCTTCACACTGGGCACCCCTACCCCACACAGACACCACTTTGTTTTGGGGAGGAGGATGAGAATTCTGAATTCACTACAATGATTGCTTCCAGTGGATGATCAATCCAGAATTGGAGACATTAATCCTGCATGAATGCCACGTTTATTCAAAAACAACCCTAATATTTAAAACAGCCAAAGAGAAGATACCAGTTTGGATCACACTCCACCCACCATGAGACCTAAATTCAAAGTCACGCTGAACTCAATACAGCTATATGAGTTAATTTCATTCATCCCACGATCTGAGCAACCCCAGCTGGCACAGACCCGGGTCTTTTCTAGAGTGCCCAGAAATCCAGTCCACTGCCAGGCATGGACTCGACATCGAGGCACATTTTCTGCACCAATCCATGTCTCTTCATGTTACTGGTGCAGATGCTCTGATTGCTTTCCTAGGTCTCTGAATGGCTACAGTGGTGGTTCTTGATATTTTTATTAACTCATGCTGTCTTTTGATGAACAAAATATATTTCATGCCACAGAAATTTTGTTATGCCCTTCCAGGGGCATATTCACCTTTCCAGAATTAGCATTCGTGGATTTTGAACACCAAGGCAAAAAGTCAAAGTCATGGATCAAGCCATTCATAAGCCGGTTGTCTTCTCCCGGCTCCCTATGTGCAAATTCAACTCCAAATTTGACCTTTGTGCCCCCAGTGGATGCATGATGTCTGAAGGTATCCCGGACAAGAGCAAAATGGATAGGGGTAACGCAACCAACCACTTTTAATTGGGGGAGGGTGAGCACTCAAACTGTATTCTGCTTTTGTATATGCATACAATTATTCATTTATGTTCCAGAATGGAAAAACAAATGCCTTTTAGGACTGTCAGTATTTTGATCTATAGGTTGACATGTCTATTTATTCAACAAGTTTATCTGAATACTTGTTCTATGTCAGATTCCATGCTAACTGATTAGATTCTGTGATTTATAAGATCCAGTATGAATCTTCAATGTGTTTATTATAAAGAGACAAGGTAGGAGTAGAAAAGGGAGGGGAAGAGAGAGAATTGTCCCTCCCTGAGTGGGTCAGAAAAGATTTATGGAGGAGGAATGTCTAAGCTAGAATTTAAAGATGAATACAGGTTTTTCAGGCAGACAAAGTACAGCTAGGCAGGCAGATGGGAACTACCTGAGCCAAGGCATGGAGGCGTGAAGTGCACAGCGTGTTTAAAGAACAGTACACAGCTAGCTATTCTTGGAGTACACATTCTGCAGGAGTTTGTGTAGGGAAATGGCAATGATCAATCACTCTGAGTATATGTGGGTTGGGTTATTGTTCCATTTACTTAACAAGTGTTTATTAAGCCCTTACTAAACAGAGGAATTCAGACCAGGAGCTGGACCTTAGGGTGATAAGGGAAATAAGACATGAATCTACAAAGCATAAGACACTTTTCTTGAGAGAATATTCATTCATGTTCATCAGCAACAATGGATTAAGTTCTAAATTAGCACCTACCAACACAACCGATTATAAGACATGTTTTTTTTACTTAAGGAGTGTCAGTCTAATGGAAAAGACACATAAATAAAACATGATATTGTAATATATTCAATAATCAGTCTAATAGCATTTACTGGCTGCTTACCAAGTTCTGGACACTGATATAAGTGCTTTATATTAATTTAGCCCATCCTCACACAATATTATTATTGTTTGCATTTCCCAAATGGCAAAGTAAGGACCAGAGAGGTTACTTAAGTCGTTCAACCAAGGGTCACACTACTGAGATTAAAATCCATGAAATTTGACCCCACATTCTTAACCACCACTCCAGAGAACTATAGAAACATGGAACAGAAACATATAAGCCATCTAAGAAGGGGTCAGGGAAGACAAATCCTTCTACCCCAATAGTAGTTACATGCTTTCTGAGGTCTCCGGGAAATAGAAAAGCAGTTTATAGAATCTTGGGAAACTACCAAATGTAATGATACTAGAGTGTATAACATCTAGAGTTCAAGCTCAAAAGAGTCCATTTTTTCCCAAGAGTTCCCCTAGATTACATTTCTCATTCAAATGATTGTAATTTTTCAATCCCTGCCCTCTTTAAATGCTAAAATCCCATTATGTGCCTTTTAGATTTTTATCAAGAGAACTATACAGTTGATGGGGAAGCTTCTGACATTTCTCTTCAGGTGTCTTCTTTTTCTGAGCTCTCAGCATTTTGTGTTATATAATACCTTCTGAAGACTGTTATAAAACTTCCTGGCTGGATTTGTACACTGCTAATTGATTATGTGTCAATCCCAATGTCTTGTATGCAATATGATGAAGGTAGAATTATGTTTCTCATTGAAATTATTTTAACTTTCTCAACTCCCACCTAATTCAGTTCCCTCCATCCTTATAATTATCATGGACATTGAGTTGGCAAACAAAAAAGGAAAGTTGTAAGAAGTCATAGTCCTAATGATCTTCTTATAAAACCAAATCATAAAGTAGAGAAAAAGTCAAACAGGAGTGTAGAATGCTGAAAGATGACCTCATCCTTGCAGGACGAATCCAGTATGAGAGATCTGTGTCAGTAAGGATAGCATTTGCCTGGATGTCACAGAACCCAACTAGAATGACCTAGGTAAGGAAAGGGTGGGTTTTTGGTAACATAACCACATCCCAGGCACCTGTTTTTCTATTCTGCTATTGTCTTTGCAAGAGTTACGGTATACGTTCAGGTTTCAAGATCTATTCCGGACAGCAAGAAGGCAAAGGACAGGGGGTAAACAGAAGAAGCTAGCTGAGTCTGTCCCCTTTGAAAAACTTTTTCTAGTATTCACATGCTTGAGCCTCCATTTAAATCTCATTGGCCAGGTTTGGGTCACATGGCCTTCACTAGCTGCAAGAGAGTCAGAGCAGGTCAGCCTATGACCTCAGCACATACCATCCCAAACAAAGCAGGGTTTTAATAGCAAGAAAAGGAAAGAGCATGCATATTGGGTTGGCACATTATCTATTATTACAGTAACAGGGATGACCACATTCTCCTAAAGTTTCCCAATTAAAAAAAAGTAATAGAAGAGCAGAGAAAAGGCAGGTGGAACAGATTACAAAACCCCAGGGAATATAGACAATTGAATAAAGCTGAACCCAGTGTTACTTAAGTACTTCCCCTTTGTGCTCCTTAACAGAGATAATCCATAGGCCTGAATCTCATAGTATGAGTAGGAGTTAGACAGACTTGGGGAAGGCAGGGAAGGAATAAAACATTCCCAGCCAAAGCACCAAGCTGGGAAACACCATTTTGTATGGGGAATTACAATGCATTCCCTATTTCCAGAGATCTAATAGCAAAGTGAGGAATATCAGGCAGGTAAATGGAGCCAGATCATGGAAAGCTTGTGTGTGTGCTTTAAAAATGTGTTTATCTGGTGTAAGATGAGAATTTCCTGAGGCGTCTTAAGCCAGGGAGGGATAGTTCAGACTTAGATTTTAGATAACTCACCTTTAGATAAGTCATCTAGTGACTGTGTATAGGATGGAATCAAGGAGATAAAAAGAAAGGTGGAGAAACAAGGTAAGAAGTGACCATGTTACAACAATCAGAAGATGTTGAGGCCCTGATCTGGTGGAGACACAGAGGAGTGCATAAATATGAATTATTTCCTTTGAGTATCATGGAAGACTTCATGGAGGAAGCAGCCTTTTATAACTGAAAATGAACTTCCTTTTGTGTCTACAATGTGTATCTGAACAGTCTGAGGCATCCTTACTTCATATATTTTGCAGAAAATTATGGAATATAAGTTGACCACTACTTATAAATTCCTAAACAACTTGTTCTACTATTCATAAGTAAAATGATTTGAAAAAGATTTTGCCAAAGGCTGAAAATGTGAAATAATACTGAAAACCTAAAGGTAGGAAAGGCCTATATCAAGTTACTTATAACCTCAAAATTAATTGTTCTCTAATTGTGGTGAGTATCCAGGGAGCTGGGTAAAAATACAGATACAGAGGCCCACTTCAGATCTACTAAATCAGAATCTCCACGGTGGGACTTGGGGATGGGTATTTATAATTAATTCCACAGGATATGCTAATATACACTGGTTTTCATCAACAGCATGAGGAACCTAACAGGGCATGATACACTCCAACATTAGACATATTGACAAGAAAGAGGGCATGGGATCCAAGAATGCGCAATTAAGAGGCAAGAGACGAAAGTGCAGGCAGAAAGGCTGTCACTCATATAGAAGGTCAGAAGCACGGAACTTGGCTGCAGAGCCTGGTAGGACCTGAGCAGCAGCTAGGTAGGAAAATGGAAAGAGTGGAGGAAGGCCTGGGATAGGAAGACTAACAGGAATCCAAGCACCGCCACTTTGGGGGTGGGAGAGCGCTAGATGGCAATAGACAAAATCATAACATCCAAAAGGGTGTGACAAACCTGGGCTCTCCACTTTCCAGGCAATTCACAGCTATGCTTTTGTTGGTAAGTCAAGACAAATTTCTTTCTATGTAAAGTAGCATATATATGCTATTTGTTGGTGAAAATATAAAGATTACATTGGTCAATAAACAGAAGAAATTGCATCTCTGTCCCTTAGAATAGACCAAAGGAATATCTGAATAGTTCTGATGAGAAAACTGTGAGCCCCTATAATTCCATGGTATTAGGAAGGTCCCCAGCGTGACGGACCCCTTACCAGCCTGACCAGTTTTGCTCCTTGGAGATCGCTGAGCAAATGCCTGGTGGCTTTGGCACTGTTCCCCACTGTGTCTGTGATATCACCCATTAATTTTGTGAACATTCTACAGACACATTTCATGAAATGGGCCAGGGGAAAGGAAAAGGGCAGGGGAAAGGAGCAGGTAGATAGTCCTGTGTGATGAACTTTTCTAACAATATTTATCATTTTTCTCTGGGAAAAATAAAAGTAGCTGACTTTAAACAACCAGCTTCAGATCATTAGGGATACCATGATCACCCCCATAGATCCTGCTGCTTTCTGAGGCAGTTTACATAATTCGCAAAGACATCTGTGTTTGAGGTCTTTTTCGTAATATCCTTCTGAGTCAGAACAAGCAGGGTGCATTTGTGTTGACATGTCTAGGTGAGCTCTTCTGCTTGGGATTAGTCAAAACCATAAATGGCAAGTAAGGCTCGAAGAGGTGGTGAGTAGATGTGTGGGGCGTTTGTGTCATCACAGCCCTCCCATGCCTCCCAGTCCTTCCTAACAGAGCGGCAGCAGGCAGCTCGCAGCCATTCTGCATGAACAGAGGTGGTCTGAACTACGAATCTGCCTAACTCAGCTCTAAGATCTCTCCTTGCATCTTTTAAAAAAAATATTTTAATTCAGGGAGTACATGTGCATATTTGTTCCATGGGTATATTGCATCATGGAGATCAGGCTTCTAGTATACCCATAATCCAAATATTGAATTTTGTACCCAGTAGTTAATTTTGCAACACTGACTTCCCTCCCACCTCACCCCTCCCCACTTTTGGAGTCTATTGTTTCCATCTTTATGTCCATAGGTACCCATTGTATAGTGCCTACTTCTAAGTGAGAGCATGTGATATTTGATTTTTTGTATCTGGATTAGTTCACATAGGATAATGGCCTCCAGCTCCATCCATTTTGCTGCAAAGGAAATAAATAATTTCATGTTTTGTTTTGTTTTGTTTCGTTTTTGGTTTTTTAGACGGAGTTTCACTCTTGTTGCCCAGGCTAGAGTGCAATGGCGCGATCTTGGCTCACTGCAACCTCTGCCTCCCAGGTTCAAGCAATTCTCCTGCCTCAGCCTCCCAAGTAGATGGGATTACAGGCATGCACCACCACGCCCAGCTAATTTTGTATTTTTTTTCAGTGGAGACGGGTTTTCACCATGTTGGTCAGGCTGGTCTTGAACTCCTGACCTCAGGTGATCTGCCCACCTCAGCCTCCCAAAGTGCTTGGATTACAGGCATGAGCCACTGCACCTGGCTGATTTCATCCTTTTTTATGGCTGCATGGTATTCTATGGGGTGTGTGTGTGTGTATATATATATATACACACACACACACACACACACACATCACATTCCATGGTGTACACACACACACATTTTCTTTATCTAATCAACCATTGATAGACACTTAAGTCAGTTCCATGACTTTGCTATGGGGAATAGTGCTGCAATAAACATATGTGTACAGGTGTCTTTTTTATACAATGGACCGGTTTTCATCAACAGCATGAGGAACCTAACAGGGCATGATACACTCCAACATTAGACTATTATTACAGTAACAGGGATGACCACATTCTCCTAAAGTTTCCCAATTAAAAAAAAGTAATAGAAGAGCAGAGAAAAGGCAGGTGGAACAGATAATGGTTGAGTATAGATAAAGAAAATGTGTGTGTGTGTACACCATGGAATGTGATGTGTGTGTGTGTGTGTGTGTGTGTATATATATATACTTACACACACACACACCCATTAGAAATCCATGCCCATAAAAAAGGATGAAATCAGCCAGGTGCAGTGGCTCATGCCTGGTAATCCAAGCACTTTGGAGGCTGAGGTGGGCAGATCACTGAGGTCAGGAGTTCAAGACCAGCGCTGACGAACATGGTGAAAACCGAGGTCTCCACTAAATAAAATTACAAAATTAGGCTGGCGTC